AACCATGATGTCAATTTGAGCATTTTTTGTAGCATTGTTTTAATAATGTTTGGAAAATAAAATTATTAGTATTTGTTGTTAAATTACTATTTTTTTGCGTTAATAAAATATTTATAAATACTATTTGATCTAACAAAAACAAATAATATATTAAATAATGTCAATCTTATAGATGTGAAAATTTTTAAAAGTTATTCATAAAGTATTAAGAAATGTAGGTATGTAGTAAACCTACAATTTCTAAAATCAGCCACTTAATAATTTATCAAGTTGCTAATAAAATAGTGTGAAGCAATGCAAGTCATTAAATATTTCCGTATTAACAGTTGGTGTAATAAACATAATTATTTGTTTTTAAATACCAGAAGTTATCTTCTTATTTAATTATTAAATTAAAAAGCTAAAAATAAACTTTTTTTTAGTGTCGTCAAAGAAATTAAATTTACAGTTTCCTGTAACTATAACTAAAAATTATTCTACTAAAAATGTATATAAAATTTACTTTATTTTTTAATATGTAACATTCTAACATGTTAAACTTCTCGTAATCGATCTTAAAAGAAAATTGTTGAATACAAATGTCATTTAATTTTAATTTTTTTAAATTTTTTATTTAATAATAATATTAAATATTAATAAAAAATGTGAAATAATACAATCTATTCCAACTTTTGTGTAAAACAAATATAAATTAAATAGTTCAACAAATATATTTGTTTCAAATATCGTTAATGTTTTTTTAATTTTTAGTTATTATTTACAGGAATCTGTAAATTTAATTTCTTTGACGACACCAAAAAAAAGTTTATTTTTAGCTTTATTCCAAAACAATAAGAAATAGACCTATCTAACCCCATATTTTAGTAATCAGAAAAAAATAACGAATTTAATAAGCGAATAATCAGTGGTTGTTTCCATTTAAAAAAACGAAAATTGTCACAATATCTCAAAATCTAAATCCGAAAAGATTTTTTTGACTACGTCATCAAATTCTCTGCAAAAAAGTGTCCATATAATGTCTTAATTATAATACTCCACCTATAATAATAACCAAGATAATTGCACTTGCTGGTTTTACGATATTTTCAATTTTGGCCTCTAGCGGAAAAACTAAAGACGGTAGCGCTTTGAGGTTATTGGCATTTGCAGTTTCTCGAAAAACGAGATCATGACATGTAAGCTATTTTTTTTCTATCTCTTATAGTTTCCGAGATAGCCTATTCGGACATCGAATTTGAACCACCCTGTACTTACTTCTCCGCCATTTTGAGTTCTTTCGACATCATACTGCACAATAAATTGTCCTGATAATCCCTGTTTTTCAGGATGCTTCATTAACTTCGCAAATTCTTTTTGTTTTCGTACGTTGGGGTTAAAATAAATTTTGGCACAAGTTTCATTAATCCTTTCAATATTCGCATGGGGATCCAACTCCTCATTAGATTCGATAATTTCGTTCCCGGATCGAATCGGAGCAACTCGCACCATCCTCAACGGCAAACTCTCCTGGATTTCAACCTCGACCTCAAGATTTTTAACGGGTTGCCTCGGGTTTATGTTAACGACCAATTCGTATATGTTATTTTTTCGCTCGAGTAACTCCTCGTAGGTTAAATAAAAAGTTGCTTTACTCGACGGTTCCAGATTTACAGAAACCGTGAAGCGATTTGAATCTCGCGAAACGACGTGAGCCGCAGTTTGGCCCATCTCGAGGGCGTTTTCGTAAATTTTTTTGGCTTCTTCTTTTTCTTTGACGTAAGCGGGGTAATCTTGGCCGTTTATGTTCATAATAAATTTAGAGATGAAAGCTTTTTCGGGGAGGATCACCGTGAATATTGCTTCTTGCGCGGAATTCGCATCGTTTCGAACTTTGCTAGTGATTAAAGTTTGAGCGTATCGATTTGTTACGTTTGATTCGATTCTCATCGAATAAATTTTAGGGACATTCTTTTCCTCATCAGGAATGACGTCATCGTCAAAGAAATCTTTATCGGCGCTTCGAATTAAACGCGATTTTGATTGTAAAGATTGTTCCAAAGAGTTTGAAGTAATTATTAAGTCGGATTTGAATGGATCGAGGTTGAAACTTGATGATGTTGTTATGAACGCAAAAAATAACAATAATTTTCGTTTCATTGTGACCACTAAATATCTAAAAGTTAATCTAAAACTTAATCAAAATCAAGTTAACACGAATCTACTCACCACTGTGGTTACTTTATTATTATTAGGTGTTTACCGAGATGTTGTTCTTAAATACGTTGGAGACCAAAAAAATAAATAGATTATCTACACCACACATAAAACGTTAGAGTTAACGATTCTCGGTATCGAGTTCAACAAAGTTATCGCTGTTTGTGTTACATCTAAATAAAATTTATTAATAACGTCATAATACCTACAAGAATTAATTCAAGATGTGAGATTTACACCAAATTAAAGCTTAAATCTTCCTCTTTAAGAAAATGTATCACTCGTTGTTTCAATTTGAAATCAATCCCACCAAAAAAAATTTTAAAGAAAATCTTGCACGTTTAGATTTAAATAAACATCTAAAAAATGATGATTTTTAAAAAATCGCTCATGACATAATTATGAGAGTTAAGAAATAATTTTTGTATTAAATTATAGCTTAAATCTTCCTCTTTCAGGAAATGTTAAAGTTATTGTTTTAGCACCAAAACGATTTTGTAAAAAAATTTTAACGTAATGATGCGTTTTTGAGGTTTTAGGAGAATCACAAAAAATAACGATGAAATTCAAAAAATCGTGGATGCTTTATTTTTGAAAATAATAAAATGAGTTTTTTGCCAAATTAAAGCTTAATCCTTCCTCTTTAAGAAAATGTATAACTCGTTGTTTCAATTTGAAATCGATCCCATCAAAAAAAAATTTAAAGAAAATATTGCGCATTTAGGTTTAATCGAAAACATCTAAAAAATGATGATTTTTAAAAAATCGCTCATGACATAATTATGAGAGTTAAGAAATAATTTTTGTACCAAATTATAGCTTAAATCTTCCTCTTTCAGGAAATGTTAAAGTTATTGTTTTAGCACCAAAAAGATTTTGTAAAAAAATTTTAACGTAATGATGCGTTTTTGAGGTTTTAGGAGAATCACAAAAAATAACGATGAAATTCAAAAAATCGTGGATGCTTTATTTTTGAAAATAATAAAATGAGTTTTTTGCCAAATTAAAGCTTAATCCTTCCTCTTTAAGAAAATGTATCACTCGTTGTTTCAATTTGAAATCGATCCCATCAAAAAAAAATTTTAAGAAAATACTGCGTATTTAGGTTTAAACAGAAACATTTAAAGAATGATGATTTTTAAAAAATCGCTCATGACATAATTATGAGAGTTAAGAAATAATTTTTGTACCAAATTATAGCTTAAATCTTCCTCTTTGAGGAAATCTTAAAGTTATTGTTTTAGCACCAAAAAGATTTTGTAAAAAAATTTTAACGTAATCATGCGTTTTTGAGGTTTTCGGAGAATCACAAAAAATAACGATGAAATTCAAAAAATCGTGGATGCTTTATTTTTGAAAATAATAAAATGAGTTTTATGCCAAATTAAAGCTTAAACCTTCCTCCTTTAGAAAATGTATAACTCGTTGTTTCAATTTGAAATAGATCGCATCAAAAAAAAATTTAAAGAATATATTGCGCATTTAGGTTTAATCGAAAACATCTAAAAAATGATGATTTTTAAAAAATCGCTCATGACATAATTATGAGAGTAAAGAAATAATTTATGTACCAAATTATAGCTTAAATCTTCCTCTTTCAGGAAATGTTAAAGTTATTGTTTTAGCACCAAAAAGATTTTGTAAAAAAATTTTAATGTAATCATGCGTTTTTGAGGTTTTAGGACAATCATAAAAAATAACGATGAAATTCAAAAAATCGTGGATGCTTTATTTTTGAAAATAATAAAATGAGTTTTTTGCCAAATTAAAGCTTAATCCTTCCTCTTTAAGAAAATGTATAACTCGTTGTTTCAATTTGAAATCGATCCCATCAAAAAAAATTTAAAGAAAATATTGCGCATTTAGGTTTAATCGAAAACATCTAAAAAATGATGATTTTTAAAAAATCGCTCATGACATAAATATTAGAGTTAAGAAATAATTTTTGTACCAAATTATAGCTTAAATCTTCCTCTTTCAGGAAATATTAAAGTTATTGTTTTAACACCAAAAAGATTTTGTATAAAAATTTTCACGTAATCATGTGTTTTTGGGGTTTTAGGAGAATCACAAAAAATAACGATAAAATTCAAAAAATCGTGGATGCTTTATTTTTGAAAATAATAAAATGAGTTTTTTGCCAAATTAAAGCTTAATCCTTCCTCTTTAAGAAAATATATAACCCGTTGTTTCAATTTGAAATCGATTCCATCAAAAAAAATTTAAAGAAAATACTGCGCATTTAGGTTAAACGGAAACATCTAAAAAATGATGATTTTTAAAAAATCGCTCATGCCATAATTATGAGAGTTAAGAAATAATTTTTGTAGCAAATTATAGCTTAAATCTTCCTCTTTCAGGAAATGTTAAAGTTATTGTTTTAGCACCAAAAAGATTTTGTAAAAAAATTTTAACGTAATCATGCGTTTTTGAGGTTTTCGGAGAATCACAAAAAATAACGATGAAATTCAAAAAATCGTGGATGCTTTATTTTTGAAAATAATAAAATGAGTTTTATGCCAAATTAAAGCTTAAACCTTCCTCTTTAAGAAAATGTATAACTCGTTGTTTCAATTTGAAATCGATCCCATCAAAAAAAAATTTAAAGAAAATATTGCGCATTTAGGTTTAATCGAAAACATCTAAAAAATGATGATTTTTAAAAAATCGCTCATGACATAAATATGAGAGTTAAGAAATAATTTTTGTACCAAATTATAGCTTAAATGTTTCTCTTTCAGGAAATGTTAAAGTTATTGTTTTAGCACCAAAAAGATTTTGTAAAAAAATTTTAACGTAATGATGCGTTTTTGAGGTTTTCGGAGAATCACAAAAAATAACAATCAAATTCAAAAAATCGTGGAGGTCTTATTTTTGAAAATAATAAAACAACTTTTACACCAAATTAAAGCTTAAACCTTCCTCTTTAAAAAAATGTATAACTCGTTATTTCAACTTTAAATCGATCCCATCAAAAAAAAATTTAAAGAAAATATTGCGCATTTAGGTTTAAACGGAAACATCTAAAAAATGATGATTTTTAAAAAATCGCTCATGCCATAATTATGAGAGTTAAGAAATAATTTTTGTACCAAATTATAATTTAAATCTTTCTCTTTCAGGAAATGTTAAAGTTATTGTTTTAGCACCAAAAAGATTTTGTAAAAAAATTTAATGTAATGATGCATTTTTGAGGTTTTAAGAGAATCGCCAATAAAAACAATCAAATTCAAAAAATCTTGGTGGTCGTATTTTTGAAAATAATAATATGAGTTTTATGTCAAATTAAAGCTTAAACCTTCCTCTTTAAGAAAATGTATAACTCGTTATTTCAATTTGAAATCGATCTCATCACAAATAAATTTAAAGAAAATATTGCGCATTTAGGTTTAATCGGAAACATCTAAAAAATGATGATTTTTAAAAAATCGCTCATGCATAATTATGAGAGTTAAGAAATAATTTTTGTACCAAATTATAGTTTAAATCTTCCTCTTTCAGGAAATGTTAAAGTTATTGTTTTAGCACCAAAAAGATATTGTAAAAAAATTTTAATGTAATCATGCGTTTTTGAGGTTTTTGGAGAATCATAAAAAATAACGATGAAACTCAAAAAATCGTGGATGCTTTATTTTTGAAAATAATAAAATGAGTTTTTAGCCAAATTAAAGCTTAATCCTTCCTCTTTAAGAAAATGTATAACTCGGTTCAATTTGAAATCGATCCCATCAAAAAAAATTTAAAGAAAATATTGCGCATTTAGGTTTAAACGGAAACATCTAAAAAATGATGATTTTTAAAAAATCGCTCATGACATAAATATGAGAGTTAAGAAATAATTTTTGTACCAAATTATAGCTTAAATCTTCCTCTTTCAGGAAATGTTAAAGGTATTGTTTTAGCACCAAAAAGATTTTGTAAAAAAATTTTAACGTAATGATACGTTTTAATATTTTAGAACAGCCACCAAAAAAAAACCATCAAATTCAAATAATCGTGGACGTCTTATTTTTAATAATTATAAAATAAGTTTTATAACAAATTAGAGCTAAAAAATTCCTCTTTAAGATGATATGACCCGCGTTTGATTTTATAATTAATTCTTCGAGATATACGTTAAATAATGAGGTGATTAAATTTTGAGATATCATTAATTTGTATGAATTAACATAAAGTTTAAAAAATCATTCTGAACCTATTTTTAGGTGTAAAGAAATGGTTTATATCTTGAATTAAAGCTAAAAGATTCCTTTTTAAGATGATATAATCCGCGTTTTGTTTTATAATCAATTCTTTGAGATATAGGTTAAAAAATGAAGTGATTAAATTTTGAGGTATCATTAATTTGTGTAAATTAACATAAACTTTAAAAAATCATTCTGAACCTATTTCTAGGTGTAAAGAAGTGATTTATATCTTGAATTAAAGCTAAAAGATTCCTTTTTAAGATGATGTAACTCGCGTTTAATTTTATAATTAATTGTTCGAGATATAGGTTAAAAAATGAAGTGATTAAATTTTGAGATATCATTAATTTGTATGAATTAACATAAACTTTAAAAAATCATTCTGAGCCTATTTCTAGGTATAAAGAAGTTGTTTATATTTTGACTTAAAGCTACAAGATTCCTTTTTAAGATGATATAACCCACGTCTAATTTTATAATTAATTGTTCGAGATATAGGTTAAATAATGAAGTGATTAAATTTTGAGGTATCATTAATTTATATAAATTAACATAAACTTTAAAAAATCACTCTGAACCTATTTCTAGGTGTAAAGTAATGGTTTATATCTTGAATTAAAGCTAAAAGATTCCTTTTTAAGATGATATAACCTGCGTTTGATTTTATAATTAATTCTTCGAGATATAGGTTAAAAATGAAGTGATTAAATTTTGAAGAATCATTAATTTGTGTAAATTAACATAAACTTTAGAAAATCATTCTGAACCTATTTCTAGGTGTAAAGAAGTGGTTTATATCTTGAATTAAAGCTAAAAGATTCCTTTTTAAGCTGATATAACCCGCGTTTGATTTTGTAATTAATTCTTCGAGATATACGTTAAGTAATGAGGTGATTAAATTTTGAGGTATCATTAATTTATGTAAATT